ATTCAATCTCACTGGGGCTTTGTTGTGAATGACAGTAAGAAAACACGTATGCTTCCCTGCACAGCAAGTGTAGAGAGAGGCCTGATTTGTCTACTTAATTATCAAGTGTACAATTAAATAAGAATGGCAAATATGATTATAGTTAATGTGGCTCTAAGATCACTGCACTTAAACTGACAAGGGGGGAAGTTGAAAGCATACAAAGGCATGGCATTGAATATGTGTGATAACAAATAATTCTTTTTAACAGTATATTTAGATGTCCTCTAAATCACCTAAAGTCTATACTAATTCAAAATACATATTTTTTGCATGGTTTTCTCTTAACCATTAAAAAATATTTGGAATAACTATAGATAGACTTTAATTACTTATAACCTACTCTCAGAAAAAAGAGGAATCATGATTTGCTGTGCAATTCTACCTAAATGTGATTGGCTGTACATACTCGCACACTCGGCCATCAGGAACTAGAGGATCACTTGAATTTGACAATAGGATGATATGAACGTAGACTCTATAGGGTCCAGCTTATTTCTCACTTTCAGTTCCTATTTATCTGGTGAAGTCAGAGCTCAGCGACATTGCGTGTTTGTCTGTGAAGCAACAAGAAAAGGTTAACGTTCATCACAAGCTTCAAGGACCAAGATTCTCATGCTGCCTTGTTTACATGATGGACGGATATGTCATATCGTCGGTAAGTGTTTAATCGTCTTATCATTCTTAACCTTTTACAAAACAGATAAGGAAACTATAGTCTTTGATTATAGTTTGTGACACTGAGAGGATGTTTGCTACTGCTTGTTCTACTGTGTTTTTAAAAGTAACCACGTAATTCTAGTGAGAAAGGTGGGATTTATTGATTAATGTGTATATCTGAGAAGAAGAGGAAGACTTACTCTTTTAAGTTTTGTTTGTGTTTTATAAGGACGTGTGTGAGCTGGTCTGGTCTGTTACTTTATTCATTTCATATATATTTCATTCCAAGAAATATAAAGACTAGTTAAATGAATCAGTTCTAGTGTTTCAACTCAATGGTCTTATCTGACTTTATTTTGGCAACACAAAGAGACTCAAACTTTTACTTTCTCTGTGATAAAAGGCCTCAGAAGAAATCATTCCAAATGAACCTGGGGAGTATCGACCACCCGCAGAGCTGTACCCCTACCTCACTAACGTGGGGGAGATTTATGAGGGTGAGAAGAGTGGATTTAACAGTTGAAAAGAGCACTAATCACTACAGGATGCTTATTGCCTTATACCTTCTGTCACTTTTCAGACCACAGATGGGTTTTCCACTCTGAGCGTGTCCAGCCGACGGACTTTGACAATTCTCCAGTGAATCATCTCACAGAGCTTCAGTCTGTGTCTCCTCAACAACTCATACAACCCTACCGCTACAGCAGCGAGTCTCTGCCCCTTCACCTGGATCCACCACTCGGGCCTCTCTCTGTGTCACCACAAGTAAGTTAGTGATTAGAAATCAGTGATACTTGACGAACATATCTACGTGTGGTATTGACACACAAGCATACTGATGAGGATATGTTTAGTACAATACACACATAGCAAAAACAAAACCACCATCCTAAAGCAGGGAATTGCTCCCCTGATTTAATGCAAGGTCGATTTTAAATGTGATCTTACTATTAGTATGCAGCAGTAATGATTTACACTCATGAAAAAGCTACATTATGTGATATGAGTCACATTACTCACTATATTTCCCCTGAGTGAGGGATACTTACGCAGACAAACTATGGTTTTGTTTATTTTTCTACTCATTTTTTGGTTAAGTGAAAATGGCAAATTATAATGTTAAACAGGGCTGCCACTAATGATTATTCACTAATCACCACTGATTAATCTGTTGTTTATTTTCTTGATTAACTGTTTAGTCCATAAAGTTTCAGAACATTTTGAAAAAGGTTTATCAAATTTTTCACATTTAATGAGATGGAATCAATTAATACCATTGTTGATTCTGTCAATCAACTAATCATTTCAGCTCTATTGTTAATATTCATAAATTTGTGGATATAGTTCATGCTGCAGAACTGAATACTAGGTCAAACAAAAAGAGTAATTTGAACCAAATCTGCTGCTGCCACAATAATAACAACACAATATATTTTCAGGAATTACTAAATCATAATGGATTAATATCATTTGAATTCTGAAATAAATAAATAAATAAATGCAATTTAATCTCCCTACCGATAAAGCACATGATGTGGACAGTCAGGGGTATTTTCACAGAAAAGTCAAATACACCACATGGTCTTGCTGAGCATTCAATTCTATTTTGGCAGTTACTTCCTCTTTTAGTACAATGACAGTGTTTAAACTAAAATGTCATGCAGTGCAAAAGTTGCAAAACAAACTGCATGCAACTCTATCTCTCCTTTGTGCAAACCTGAACTAAGACTTGCTTTAAATTTATCTTAAAGATCCCATATTACACCTCATCCTTGTGCTACCAGTACCAACCTCCTGCCTCGCCGGGCCATTACTACTCAGAAGAGGAACAAAGAGGAATGAGTCCCCCACTCGAGGTATCAGATGGGGAGGATGAATTTGAAGACCACAACCACTCCTCCTTCAGGAAAGACACTAGTGAGTATTGACAATGCAAATTTTCTACTGACATCAAATCCTAATGCACTGAAAGTCATATTAAAGCCTATAAAAAACTGATAACTGCCAGACAAAGTTTGCTTGAACGAGTCTCATATTTTCCAACCCAGACAACAAAAAGAAAATCCGCTTGTACCAGTTCCTCCTGGACTTGCTAAGAAATGGCGACATGAGTGACAGTATCTGGTGGGTGGACCAGGACAAGGGCATCTTCCAGTTCTCCACAAAACACAAAGAGGTTCTGGCCAGCCACTGGGGTACTCAGAAAGGAAACCGTAAGAAAATGACCTACCAAAAGATGGCTCGAGCTCTGAGGAACTATGGTAAAACTGGAGAGATTAAAAAGGTGAAGAAGAAGCTGACCTACCAGTTCAGTGAGGCAGTGCTGAGGAACCTCTACCTACGCCAGTATCCTCGCTGAGAGGAAGCGATGGCTGTCTTTTATTACGCTGAAAATCACTAAACTAGTCAAGATTAGCCTGTTTGCCATTCTTTTTTTTCTACCAAGTTTTCTTATCTATTTATTTGTGATGTACATCTTCTACTATATTTGCTTCACTATAAACGGCTTCATTTTCAGACTCAAATTAAGTTTGTGTGTTTGTTTGTGTGTGTGTGTGGGTGTACAGAGATTAAAGGATTATTAACATTCAAATGTTTGTACAGATGTACAAATAGATAAAGTAATAAAGCTGATTAAAATCCATAAATATAAATAATAAATACATATACTATAAATAAATACACAAAGTAAACAGAGTAATAAAAAGAAAACGGAATAGAATGTATAAATATGTATGTACATTACCTTTTTGTCATGAATGTGTGTAAACAAATATAATTATTTGAATTACTCAAATGAACTGAATCCACCATAAACTACAACAAAACATGTTGTACTTCTGGTCATTGTTGAGCCTATTTCTAATTCACTACATCAGTGTAACAGGGCTAAAAATTGTTATCTCATTGTTTTTAAGCCTTAAGTTAAAATTGAAGAAAGAGATTGGGGATCCCTCTTACAGGACAGACACATAAGCAATAATGTCACATGTACAGATAAGACAGTAACAGGTGTAATAAGAGAAATTAACATAAGAAAGACAGATGCACGTACCAGATAAACAGAGTTAACAGATTTCAACATACAGCCAAAATAACAGAACTAGTAACAACCTAGTACGTCACGCACAAATGCAATACGTGTTTTGCTGAGGAACTTTAAATGCACTTGCAAGCAGATAGCAAAGATGTGTGTGAGTCTGCAACTTGCAGGGCCTTTGCCACAAAATGTACTTTGTTCCATGTAAGAGGACAGACTACTGGTACACATAAAGGCAAAAATCAAGTATACTATTCACACGAGGGGAGAAGATAAACCATAGCATACACAAAGGTATAACACTTGATGCAAAAATAGATATGACTACAGAGCGAGTATCCAGGAGAATGAAGATTCAGGTCAGAGTAGACTGAGGAACACAAACAAGAGCCATATGGTCTAAAACCGAGAGAAGGATTGAGATTGCATCAGGTTTACTGTAGGTGGAGGAAGGAAATTGCTTTGTTATGGTGCATAACAATAAAAATATAGAAGGAAAAATAATATAAATAAGTCAAGAATCATAGAAAGTAGAAAAAATGACAATAAAAAATAGATAATAGATAGCTCTAACCAGTTATTGTCCATCTCTCATTGGTTGTCACGTTGATCGTGTTGTTGGTCTGTAGGGGATATAAGGAGTCTAAATTTATGTTTTCACAAAACATTTAAAATAAAACATATCAAATAAAATACACATTATAAAATATAGTGGATGTTTATTCACAAATGACTAAATTAAGTGTGTAACAATATCGTATAATTTAATATTTTAGACTTTATCATGATTGCTATGTACGTTAGGAACTTAATTTTTTTTAAATTAAGAAAATGTAATCACCTCACAAATAAAACGGCAATTAACTGTGTAATTTCCGCCTGTGGTTGTTTATCTGACTTTATTATAATACCTCTACAACAAGTAATTATAAGAAATATTAATTATATATATATATATAACGTCACTATTTTCTTTAGATTTTCAAACTGGAATTTTCCCAACGGGCGAAAAGACGTTGAAGTCCCGCCCCCACTTCCGTCGACGTCACTGCCAGCAGCCAATCAGAGCACAGATGTAGTTTCGGTGCAGAATTCAAACGTCGTCGAGTCGACCAACGGACGGCGTCCCGCAGCCACACCAATGTTAGTCAGTTTAACCGGACATTATTATTAATATTAATACATATTAACTGGCTGCGGTGGCAACATGAGAGTGAGGTTAGTAACCTAACATGTTTCTATTTACTGGTGCCTGAAAATGTTTACGATAACGAGTGTATATTGAGTTAGCCACTTTACTTCCTGTTGATTTTACATAAAGCCAGCTTTAATTTGAACACACTCACACACTTTGTATCACGTTGGGGGACGGAGTAACTAGTCGCCAGTGTATGCTGCAATGAATTATTGTGAACGGTAATTATGTTTTCTGTCAGTTTGACTGCCGCTGGTTGTATTGAGCTGGTATTTAGTGTTGACCGGACAGCTAAATGCTAACCACCGTTAGCCTGCTCAGTGGACTGGTGTTAGCTTCTCTGCTAACCACTCACTGGCGCTAACGTTAACACTTGACTGGTTTGACTGGTTTGACTGGTAGCAGGTGTCACTTCCAGTCTCCACTCTCCAGAGCACTGACCCTCTCGCCTTTTGTTCCAGTGAAGTCCACGCAGCAGAGTCCGTCGCCTACCTCAACAGAGCACTGTTCAGGTTGCAGGATATTTGGGAAGAAATCGGGATCCCGGAGGAGCAGCGCCTACAGAGGACCAATGATGTTCACAAGCACATTAAAGTGAGTCCAGAAGAGATTGAAATTAAGTTTGGTTGTTGACCTTTTTTTATAGAGCTAACAAACTCACATTTCCACCTTTGTCCTGCAGGGTTTGTTGGACCTAATGATAGCAGAGGAGGAGGAGCTCAAGAAGAGATTATTGAGAGACATAGAAAGTCATCTTAAGGAACTTAAACATTTGTGCAGTGAACTTCAGCTGCCCCCCTTTGAGGTACAGTCTCTTTTTAAAGGAATGTGCGGTTGTTTTCTTAAACCTGTCTGTGGGAGTTGTTTGGATTAACTGTCTGGGTTTCTGTGAAGGAGGAGGATGGCTGCACCATGTTGCAGATGGAGAAGAATAGCCGCACGCGCCTAGAAGTGATGAAGGAGCAGAAGAAGAAAAGAGTGGACGAGCTCAAGGGCCTCGTTGGAAAAGACCGTGAGCTGTGTGACATTATGTGCACTACCCCATTTTGCATCGACCAGGACTCCATCCCATCGCTGCCGCAGCTGGAGACCTATCGTGCCCACCTGGATGGACAGATCAAAGAAAAGGTGTTACTGGCTCTCTACTTCTCTTAATTACTTTACCTGCTTTGTCTCATTATGATTTGTAACCTGTCTTGTCTTTTCAGGAGCGTCGTCACAATGAATTTGTGAGTGTCAAGAAGGAGATCATCGTGTGCATGGAGGACCTGGAGCGGCACCCGGAGACCAGCTTTGAGATGGATGTGATGTGTGAGGACGAGGAGGCATTTTGTCTGTCAAATGACAACATTGCTGCACTCAAACTGCTACTCAGTCAGGTGATTTGGGATATTTGCATCTGACGCTATGATTAAAAGGGTGTACAATATCAATAACAAGCAAATTTCCCCAGTGTGGGATCAATAAGACCCTAGCTTGTCTTATTATAACTGATGTATGATTTTTCCCACCTCCTTCCAGTTACAAGAACGTAAGGCAGAGAATGAGCTCCGTTGTTCAGCTTTCCGCACTAAGATCCAGGAGCTGTGGGAAAGACTTCAGATTCCCCAAGAGGAGCGGGAAGCCCTCTCCGAGCATATGGCCCAGTCAAAGAAGAGAAACATTGAAGCAGTAAGAAATCTACCTCATGTGGTCATTTACATTAATGATAAGTGACTTCAGGCTGTGCAGCAGTGTGTTGTGTCACCAAGCACCTCTAACACTTCCATAAGGTTTTAATAATGGGAATTCTCTCTTCCCAGCTCCAGACTGAGGTCCAGCGTCTAGAGGTGCTGAAAATGCAGAGTATGAAAAGTGTCATCGAGGCCATCAGAGTGGAGATTGGCCTTCTCTGGGAGAAATGCTTCTACAGCCAAGAACAACAGCTAGCCTTTGTTGCGTATCATGATGGTGAATATATGTTGTTTATTGACAAAGCCTTTACACTGAATATGTGTGGTTGATCATCACAAAGGGGAGTATGGGTCTCAGTGCACGTCTTCTTAACACAGGTGATTTCACCGAAGAGCTTCTAAACCTGCACGAGGCTGAGGTCAGGACCCTGAAGAAGTATTACGAGGACCACAGAGAACTCTTTGAGGGAGTCACAAAATGGCAGGGGAACTGGACCTTGTACTTGGAGCTTGACGTAAGTACTGTCCTCGTGAGTTTAGTGAGGAAGGAAGCATTCAAAGCAAACGTTTCTTGGTGTGGTAACGTGTGTGTGGATGTATGTACCTCTATCTCAGAAAAAGGCTAATGACCCCACAAGGTTCAACAATCGAGGTGGGAACCTTCTGAAAGAAGAGAAGCAAAGAGCCGACCTGCAGAAAAGTTTGCCCAAGGTGAGGAGATGTTTAACAGTGATGTTTATTGACGTATTTACTGAACAGACAGAACATAAGACCAGTGTGCAGGATTTAGTGGCATCTAGTGGTGTAGTTGTTGATTGCAAGCCTTGCCACACCCTCTCGTTCCGAGCATGTAGGAGAAACTACGGTGGTCAAGAAGTGCCCTATCTAGAGCCAGTGTTTTGTTTGTCTGTTCTGGGCTACTGTAGAAACATGGCGGACTTGTGGAAGAGCAGTTGCTCCCTCTGTAGATAGAAACGGATCATTCTAAGGTCACGAGAACAGACCAATGTTAGAAAACCATCCTAATAGATCCTCCTAAATGTTACACTCTAAACCTTTTTATGAGCAGTTTTCTGCATGTAAACAAAGCTGTCAGTAGGGATTCAAGAGAAAAACGTGTCAAATTAAATGAGAAATTAAACAAATGAACCATATGTGAGGAAACAGCTGAGAGGTAGTTGGTGCATTACCGGTTTTGGCCAACAGATGGGGATATTACAGCATTATCTCAGTCTGCTGTTCTTGTGCAATCAATTGTGGTGCACCAGATTTTTACAAAGGGCATTTTAGAGATTGGACAGTTATGTAACGTAGACTGGCAGTCAACTGTCAATGCTAAATCTGATGACATGGCAACAAGGTCAAATTGGTGTTTCCTTTTTGTTCTAGCTGGAAAAGACTCTGAAGGCCCAAATTGATGTTTGGGAGCAGGAGCATGGCAAGGAATTCCTGGTCAATGGACAGAAGTTTCTTGAGTACGTGCAGCAGCAGTGGACGCACCACCACACCGAAAAGGAGCAAGAGAAACTGGAACGGGTATGTTATTAATTTGACAACACTAAGTCTCAGATTTTCTCGTGTAGTCTTGTGAATATGACTACATTGTTTTTTTGTTTGTTTTTTTTGCAATAGCAACTAAAGAAAACTAAACAGACACAGGAAGACATGTTGTATGGAACCTCGATGAGAACACCATCCAAACGGCGGATAGCAGGGACCCCCACACCTGGAAAAGTCAGAAAGGTCAGATGGTGCAGCTGTTTTATTCCATTGTATGTGACTGTGTGTGCAGTAACACTGTTTGTACCTGGGAGAGTGAGTAGAGTCAAAAGTTGAGCCATCCTTTTTCCTCTGTCCACTTAGCTCAATGGCACCTCGACTATCTCCACTCCAACCAGCTTCCTTAGCTCAGGCCTCGGTGGAACCATGTGCCAGTCCTCCATCCAGAAAACACCACTGACTGCCAGCAAGGTACGGTCTTCTCCTCACTCCTCACTGACAAAGTTCAAATTATTCCGTTTATGTCCCGTCAGATCTTGAGGGCTCTCATTGGTTAGCTCTTTATCTGATTCTTAAACTCAGACTTGTGCCCAGTGTGTAAGATTTAGTGGCATCTAGCAGTGTTACAACCCCTCCCACCCTAACAACAGAGAGAAACTACGGCGGCTGTGAAACGTGAGAAAATGCAAACAGTCCTATCTAGAGCCAGTGTTTGCTGCTGTAGGAATATGGCGGCCTACATGCAAGGCGACCTGTGGCATCTATAAATATAAATAGCTCATTCTCAGGTTAACAAAAACTGATTCCTATATTCCTGGGGATTGTACACTAATGAAAACATACCTGTAGGTTCTCCTAAATGTTACACACTGGACAGGGAGCAATGGAAGTCTACAAACGCTGCTCTTGTGATACTTGGATGTGGCAGCTTTACATGAGTGTACTGAGAATGGATGATGCTGTAGAGTTTATTTTCATTATAATGTTCACGTGTGTGTGGCTTCTTTCTTTCTTTCTTCTCATTATGAGTCCTATAGTCTGAAATGAAGTAAAATGAATACGGAGGCAAAACAATCATTCTAGTTGGTCTTGTTGTAGGGTCTTGGCCTGCGAACCGTTGGACATGGAAAGACTCCCCGTGCACTAGACCGAAACAAGGAAAACATCTCCCATCTTAATAGAAATACTCCGAGTGGCACACTAAGGTCTCAGGATACTCAAGATCACACCATCACCTTTAACTCTTTTGCTGGCTCCTATTCGGAATTTGCGGTAAATGCGCTTTTACATCTGTTTGGTCTTTAACCACAAAAAGTCCACTAAAATATAATCTATTTAAATCCCTTTTGAAAATGTCTGCTTACTACAAACACCATATATTTTTGTATTTTGCAGACAAAATTCCCTGATTATGTAGTTTAATTCAGTTTAATTGAAAGTGTTTTGAAACAAGGTGGAAGATCACTCGTCTGTAAAATGACAAACGATCGCTTGATATTAAAAAGCTTTGAGACCTTTTGGTTGACTGTACGGTGACAATTTAGGTGCTAATTCGAGCAATTTAACGGCAGTCATGCATACATCTGCCAATTAACTGAATTCATTTTGATAATTAAAAATGATTTTAATTAGAAACTGATAATCTGCATCACAAATTCACATAGTGGTAGACAATACGCACGCACACACAATAAATACACATCCCAGATTATTTTTATTTAGATTAGAGCAATAGGAAATAGTGAGGAAGTTCTAGTACTTTACTCTTATACTGTAAATCCAGTGTAAACAATCTAGACATGACAAATAAATAAACATTATCATTTTATTTTACTATGTTACATACTAACACCGTGTGAATGCACACACTGACTGGAATATTGAATCAAATGACACCTTGAATACGAACAAAGATACTGACGGTTAATTCTGACTCTTCTTTACAGAGAGACCTCTCAAAGGCTTCTAAATCGACTGTGAAGTCAGGAGTGCTGAACTCCACTGTCAGTCAGTGATGAGACGAAGCAGCTGCTCCGGTGCCGGACGTCTTCCAGCTCAGCGGTAGTTTAGTGTAGTTTTCACATAGTGGACAAGAGGGAACTTTATTCTAAACTTCTTTTTTAAAAAATGTAAATATTTTAATCTGTCTCTCTTCAGCAATCCTGTTTTCCTAAGACTTTATTTCAGGGTTACTGAGCAGAGAGCAGCTTTCTCTGCTGTATGTATTTTGTGGCAAGTTAATGATGTTTGTACCAAGGCTGTCGTGGCTTTTTATTTGACTTTTTTTTTGTGGGGTTATAGTCTTTTTGTTTTTAAACAAAATGTTATTTACACATGTAGAGCACTACATTGTTTTAGTACTGCAGCAGGTATAGAGTCTCCAGCTGGAATGACAGCTACATTTGCTTTTTATAAATCAACCTGTAAATAAACATTTAAAAAAAACGTTCATCCTAAGAGTATCTATTTATTATTATTTAATTCTACCTGAATGTTTCCTTTATAGCCACTACAGTTGGGATGCATGTTAACTGAGTCAGAAGGCAGTATCTGTTAAGTATTACATTTCACATAACCATTTCTCCATGCAGACTAGAAATGGGGGGAGAAAATGTTTAAGCCATGCGTGTCATGAGTTCTTCAAGAGCCCTCTCACGGTGATTTTCATGGACAAGCAGAACTTCTTTGATTGCACTTTGCTGGAAGCCCATTTCATTAAACTGAGTCAGAAGGCATAGGAACTCAGCAGCCTGAAAGAATTTAAATTAATCATAAGAAACATTAAGTTATGATGAGGTATGGCTGTGCTGTTGGTTTTATAAAAAATATTTTGAATAAGCAGCAGTCACCTTGCTCTCACAGTTCTGAAACATCTCCAATGCCTCCTCCACCTGTGCTTCATCATAACCCAGCTTACACAGACGGTCAGTGGCCATCAGGTATTTTAGGATCTGTTGATGGATAAATAATTCTGTGAATGATCTGCTGTGTCTTGCTAAAGCACAAATTACATTAGTTAGATTACTAGTTAAATGTCTTCATATCACTTAAGTATATATTTATAAGGTTTTTTTCAAGGTCCAGTGTGTAACATGTAGCAGGATCTATTAGCAGAAATTGAATATAGTATTTCTACTTATGTTTTCATTAGTGTATAATCACCTCAACAATGAACAAACCAAACTGGCTGCCATGAAGTCCTACACTGTGGTGCTTTAATTAATGGACCAGTGTTTAGGACTTAGTTAGCAGTGAACTGAACACCTTGGGAATGAGAACAGGCTGTGAAGTGGGAAGGAGAAACTACAGTGAAAAATGCAAAAGGCCCTATCTACAGGCAGTGTTTAGTTTGTCCGTTCTGGGCTACTGTAGAAACATGGTAGACTCCATGGAAAGTAACCCGCAGTGTCATAAATGTAACGAAAACACGTTGATTCCTATATTGAGGTGATGTTCAATAAGATAAATATTACACACTGGACCTTGAAGTTACTGAAGGCAACGCAGAAGTATTTAATCTACATTTTCTCTGTTTATAAACCACTTAAGATGCACTGACTTCTAAACCCAAAGTGGCACCTACCTTCTCTGGGCTGTGGTAGCCTGTCTTCTGCAGAGCCAGAATAGCAGTGCGTAAAGGGTATCCCCTCTCTGTGATGGTTTCAAGCAGCTCCCTCTCTTCCTGGCTAAGTGCTGACAGCAACTCTGCTGCTGAATCGAAGAAAACCCCACGAGGGCCACCTGTCCTCAGGGCCTGAAGACAAGGAAAGAGCAGATGAAAAGAGTGGGTAATGAAAAAGAAGTAAGTAGAAAGAATAATGGTTTGATACATCTCGACAGAATAAGAAACCTTCTGTCGGCCGTTTTTGACAACAGGTCCTGCAGAGGAGGGTCGTTGCTGCTGCAGCCTGCATGGGGAGGGACCAGCAGGTGGTGGTGAATTATGGGAGAACTTTCTGCCCACGGGGCCCAGTGTACGCTGCCTCTTCTTGCCGTTCTTCTGCCCCAAGAGGAGGGGGCTGGCCTGCTGGGGCTGGTGCTGCTCCAGTACTCGCAGAGTTTGTCTGTAGTCTTGGAGAGAAGATAAAGACCATCTGTGGCCTCTGAGGCTCCGAGGTGAGTCAGGCTTACAGTGCTGAGTGGAAGGACCATGGTGCATGTCTTTGACTCTGGAGACTGGGTCGTTTGTGACTCCTGGGGCCTGGGGTCTTTGACTCTGGGGCCTGGGTCTTTGGGTGCGGCGCTCCAGGGCCGCTCTCTGCTCTTGGTGCGGTGAGGTGCATCTTCAGTGGAGGATTCATTGTCCTCATTGTAACCGTCTTCATCCTCAGAGTCAGAAACGAGGAACTTGACAGTGCGACGGTGCAGGCAGCGAGTGTCTGCAGAGTTCAGGCTGTGACTGCGGGGCCGCGGGCTCGAGGCCCATGTGTCGCTGTTCCTGCGACCGGCCCTGCGACTCTCTTGAGGGCTGCTGAACAGCAGCCAGTAGGGGGGGCAGGAGGGGGCCTGACGGACTGGCTGCTGCCGAGATAAAATCCATTTCTCCAGGTTGAATCCATACTGCAGGAAAAACACAGCAAGAAAGATTTTCAACAACAGACCAACACAAGCACAAGTGTTACTGATAACATTAACAATAGTTCCTTAAAGTGTCCCAATAAGCCACGACAGTGAACCGGTATGCACAATACAGTCACACACCAGTATAATGTCTTATATCAAAAACACCTATGTGGGTTATATCAATATATGCAGAGTTTATCACAATAGAAACAGACCTGAGACACAAAGATTCATATTAGCGGTTCAGATGCAGCACCAAAATAGTTTTACATTCCACTAACAATGCCATATTTATTATTTATTTATTTAAATATTTCTATTATCTCCCTTAGAATGCATCTTGATAATCCTTCGTCACAGCGTCCAAATCCTTTCTTTTTGGAGCTGTGACAAATCTGATGTAGTTGTGTATAATAGTTCCAACAGTCATTGTGTTGAGCTGAGTTGTTTTGGTATATATTTAAATGAAATTGGGCTTAAAGTGCTGCATTTTCCTAACAACTACACTGATGAATTATTAGAAGAAACTATACTCAGGTCTTAAGACAGAACCTGTAAAGTCTAAAAGCCCCTGAGTAAACGGTCTAATGATCCCAGAAATACGTTCAACTTAGAGACAATGTGAATGTTCACTTGGATGCGTGACCTCAGTGTCTCGTAGTATTTGACGACAGTCTGGCTCAGCGATGTTTGGAGCTGCCACAAGCTCCACTTCCTCTTCCAGTGGACCCAGTAGGGTCTGAAACGGGACATCCTCCAGAGGGTTCATTTTCACCAAAAAATGCACCAACAAATAACCTGCATCACAAGAATCACACACAGTTCCTCAGTTTTAAGTTACAGAACCAAACACTGAGTGCAACTGTACGAACCCTTACCTTGCTCAGGTTTCTCTGAGGTCCACGGCTCTCTGAAGCATCGACAGGTGTACGGAGTGAATGACTAACACGGAGACACCATACGTGATAAACCTCTTCATCACTAAGCCTCTGACATCATCTGAGGAGTTGTTTACCAATAATACCCCAGACGCCTGTTGTAATCTCTCCTGCAGAGATATAGGATAAATAGTGGGGTATTTAAATATATAAATGTAAATAAGTTATACTATAATTTAATTATTCAAAAATAACATTAATAATTAATATATTTCAAATCATTTTGTTTTACTAGTACATTAACAATATAAGATATTTTAACATTTTTCTTGTTGACTGAGGCTTTTCCTCATATATTCAATGCCACATTTCAGACCATGTGACTTTCAATGTGGACTTGAAGGGGGATCAGGGACATGCTGAGGTATTTGGAAACAATGAACGGCATGATACTTTCCAGAGATTAGCAGATTACATAAAGGTGACAGTGTGTCGCTGTGGAAGAACACTGTGATGTCTATTGGATTCATTTCCTGTTTCACTGATTTGTTCTGTCAACAATGTCTGAGAAGCAACTTAAGCAAATTAATAAAAGTGTCCTACTCGGCAAAAAGTAACAAGGAACCATTCAAATTCTGTACAGAGATATACATTTTATTTATAGATTTTAAACAATCACAGTAAATTTAAGAATCACAAACTTGGGGGTTTACAGGTTCTGTAACAGGCCTCTGGAAACAGAAAGCAGTTTTTAAACTTCACTAAAAGAAAAGGAAACTTAAAGCAAAAAGGAGAACAGATCTAGTTTAATCTCATTTTATAGCACAAACAGCATTGTAAAGAGTACAGTTCAGTCGGAGAGCATTTTCGGTGGAGGCTTGACTACTAACGTGTGTATTGAGGTACCATTTAGTAACAGGATATAACATCACTAAAGGTGAGGCGGCTTTCCAACGCTGAGATACGCACAAAGAAAATAAAAATAGCTGTGCTGTTCTGAGGACGTCTGACAAAGCAAGTTTAGAGTTGAGACAGAGATGCTCTGTCCGATTATGATTTGAATCTGGACAATGAAGCTTCAATGTCCGGTTTATGAATATGATTCAGTCATGTACATTTGAGGAGAGTTACTCCAAACAAAACACTTCCTGGCTAACAAACTAATCCTGCTTTGTGAGACAGAGCCCCCTGTTCGAGGTCTGTAGGTAAACATATACATTCCCTAAAGAGTGGGGCTAGAAGAGGAAGCAAAACACTGAAAATAACCAGTCTGGCTGTTTAAAAAGGTCACCATTATTCTTTCACCAGCTATGTTTAGTGTGCTGGTGCGTTACACGTCACAATGTGTTCTCCTAATTAGAGGTCATGTCATATAAACTGCTTACAAATGCTACTGAAGCAGTGTAGCTCAACATTTACAGCCCCGATTATTACTGTGGACACCATTAAATAATGGTGGTAAAGAAGAAAACATCAAAGTACTGATGTGCTCATGGAATATTATGCCTCTATGGTATAAGGCATTACTTGCCAAGGTAACTTCTCGTCTACACTTTCTCAGCGCACCACATTTTTAAGTGTACAGTATGATCCCATAACTTCCATTTGCTTCCCTTGCCATGACAGCCCATCACCACAAAGAGAGAAAACAAATTAACTAGATACAAATCCTTTCATGAATAAAATTGCATTATCTTTATATAGATAAAAATGTTAACAATCCCCAGAGATTGAAATATTTCATTAAAGGTCCACCCTGCGAGTGCACCGCTAGAGAATTAACATCTGATGCACAGGACCAAAGGTTGTTACACTCTCTTTACTTGTTCATTATGAAAACACTCATCAGTGAGAGCCACCTGGCTTCATTACCTCTAATACAATGTCCTCAGCTTGTTTGTCGGGGGGGCTATCATAAAACCCAGAGATGGTATCCAAAGGTTCATAGTAATCTAATGATTTCAGAGACCGTCTTTAGATGAAATGAGTGATGTTCAGTTGTTAGCAGCGTCTGCCTGCCGAGGCCAGTTCTCCTCTTCGATGCCCGAGTCATATTCCTCCTCCGCAGACTCCTTGGCTGGAGCTCTGAAATTCAAATGGGAACTCCAGTTCAGGTTTCAAACCAACGCAACATTGGAGAGTGCTGGGTTTAAGGAATCTGATCTCTAACATGACACAAGTGAGAGAGAGAGAGAGGTCGAGGAGAGAGAAGAGAGAGAGATCTGAGGAGAGAGAGGAGGTCGAGAGAAGAGAGAGGGGTCGAGAGAGAGAGAGGTCGAAGAGAGAAGACGGAGAGATCGAGAGAGTCGAGAGTCGAGAGATGAGAGAGAGAGAGAGAGAGAGAGAGAGAAGAGAAGAGAGATAGAGAGAGAGAGGAGAGAGAAGATAGAGATAGGATAGAGATAAGAGATAGAGTAAGATTAGATAGTAGATAGATAGATAGATAGATAGATATGAAGATAGATAGATAGTAGATACTTTATTGGGAAATTCACAGTTTCCAGCAATAATAATAATAATAATAATAATAATAATATTAATATTAATATTAATAATAATAATAATAAAAACAACAACAACAACAACAACAACAACAACAGGAGGTCAATTTAGAAGAACTAATAGTGCGGCAAGATACTGACCTGACATATCTGGGTTGTGATTTTCCTTGGACAACATCTTTGTCCAGCTCAACAGCCATGATATCAGAGTGTGGTACCTCGAACATTGGCTCTAGAAGGAGCTTTTCCTATTCGAAAAAAAGAGGACGTGTAATTACTGTAATACATCATGTAAGAAGTTTAATACCTTCAGTAAAATTACATACCATGATAGATCTGAGCCCACGAGCTCCAGTTTTTCTCTCCAGGGCCATCCTGGCTATGGCCCTCAAGGCATCTTTATTCACATGAAGTTCACACTGAAACAAAAAAACAGATTCATTTCAAATTCTTTCCTCACTACAAAGTTATCTTCCTAAAGATCTGATAAGCAGGGATGTGCATGTTGTTTCAGGTACCAGTGAGACAATAAAAACTATCCAGGAAAGATTGTAGTTCGTCTGGTAGTTCCATCATTCTGGAGGCTTAACAGAGGCCACAACAGGGGCAACTATTTTATCTTTAGTCATACCAATCACAAGGTAAACATTACAAAGTGATCTACCAGGACTGTGAGCCTGCAGGTGACTACATAGATTCTTACATTAACTGAGCCATGATGGATTTTTTGGCCCTCATTGTGCAAACACAGTAGCCCCATTCAAATGAGTCAGGGGTTGTTCTTTTTTTCTGAACACTGCTGAACACAAGTACTGTCCTCGCTATGTCAGAGCCCTTACTTTGTCCATGCTGAACAGAGCCTGGTACTGGGGCACCACAGCGTTGCGTGGTTCAGTCAAGATTCTGACCAGCGTTTCTTCATCCAGGCTGTGCAGAGGAACGACCACAGGCAGCCGGCCAACAAACTCCGGGATCATTCCAAACTCAATCAGGTCCCTGGCCTCGACATGCTTCAGCAGCCTGTCCTTCTCTTCTATCTCTGCCACTGTGTCCGTCTCACCGCTGGTGTTGGCCAAGTCTGCAGCGGCCGCTGCACGGCGCCCTTTCCCCATGTTGGAGGGAGTTCCAAAACCCAAATACTGAAGAGTCATGAAACATGAACACTGGGTTAGAAGCAGAAATAATGACATACAGGAATCTTGGCGGACAGTCGGGATATAAAGCTATCTTCAAGTCACCTTTTCATTCTTTCTTCTGCTAATGATTCTATCGAGTCCATTGAAGGCACCAGATGCAACAAACAGGATGTTTGTTGTGTCTACCTGCACCGTTTCTCCTCTCAGTTTCCTGGAGTTTTTCTCTGGAACATTGACGATTGTGCCCTCCAAGAGTTTAAGCAACCCCTGCCAGAGAGGAAAAGGAAAAAACAACAATAACGTAAGTCTAGGTCCACAAATATAGGGCAAGTAAAAATAACAAAACAAGGAAGCAATAAGTAAATAAGTTAAGTCTAAACAAAAAATGTAATGCATATATAAATAATATAATGCTGGCAGTGTCATAATGAGATGCGTGTCTACAAACACATTGCATCATTGCATTTTACTCTGTGTAACTAAACTGAACTTTAGTGTTGAATACTGACCTGCTGGACTCCCTCTCCTCCTACATCTCTCAGCTGATGGATTCCAGGCACACTGCCAATCTTATCAACCTCGTCCAGAAACACAATACCTGCACAAGAAATAAAGGACGGGTGCCAAGACAGTCTAAGTTTCACTCTTCAGAATTATTTTTAATAGTTCCTGTGTGTGTTCATACATGCATACAATGTTAAGATTCCAGCTTACACTATACTACATACTCTACACCATGAGTTCATGAGTTGCAGGACAGAGGTAAGTCGACCTTTACACTGATGTTTACTTTTGTTAATCCTAGTTTGATCCCATGTTTTTTTTTTCACGTTTTCCTGCTTCCTTGCTTCCTTGCTCTTCTCGCCTGAATGTCTCCCCCGATCAAGTCAATAACACATTCTTTACCCATGTAAGGAAACTGGAAATGTGATATACATGTGCAGATTTAAACAGGTTATAGCTGAGTAACACAGTAATTGATGTAAAAGGAATCATTTAATCTTTATAGTCTCACTGAGTGGTTTTCTAAATTTCTTCAGTACTATTGTTGCGGCACTGTTTTATACAGTTCATATAAAGTCTGTAAATTATTCTTGGGACTGTGTTTAACGACACTGAGAGCAACTTAAAACCAGACTCCAACAAAGCGGATTGTGATTCATCAACAACTTTTTTGTTGTTTATAAAGTTAGCCATTTGAGAGTACACTGTGGTGAATACTGTAGGTTCTATTAAAAGGTCCAGTGTGTCGGATTTAATGGCATCTGGCGGTGTGGTTGCACACAGCAACTCCATCGCTTCACGCTCTCTTTCCAAGCGTGAAGGAGAAACTACAGTGGCCGTGAAACAAGCATGTGTCATCTAGTAGCAGTTTGGTTTGTCCCTTGTCCCACTGTAGAAACATGGCAGACTTCAGGGACGGTAATCCCAAGTCTGGAGATAAAAACGGCTCAAAATGCACGTTTTGTGTAACATACTGTTGTTGTGGTAAACAAAAAACATACGCTATGATTTTTACAAGGGAAACTACACTGCTGTTACATTTAGTCCCTCTGCCCACCTTGCTGTGCTTTATCCACTGAGTAGTTGGCATCTTGCAGCAGTTTGGCAATAACTGACTCGATGTCTTCACCCACGTATCCAGCTTGAGTTAGTGTGGTGCAATCACAAATTGCAAAGGGAACATCCAGACAACGTGCCAGAGTCTGCGCCAACAATGTTTTTCCTGCGAAAAATGAGACGAAAAAATGTATTTTGGCAACATTAATATTTACAACAACGACATATTTGACACTGTAACTGTTGGTGATCAGAAGGTCACTGTGCAATATTACAATTTAGGACAATGTTGACACAAGACTAACCTGAACCAGTTGGACCTAGAAGTATGATGTTGCTCTTCTCCAGTTTAATTTCAGTGTGTGTGGAGTCCAGGACCTCCCCGCCCCTCCTCTCCTGAGGTGCCTGCTGACTCGCCTGTTGCTGCATGGACGCCCCCAGAGCATTTCCATGTGGACTGATCCCCGCAATCTGCAGCAGCTCTGCAACAATAAGAAAAGCCACAGGGGTTAGCTTTGTGACTGTAACAACCTCTCTAGGAACTGTATTTCACAAATCACTACAAAGACGCAACTGAACGCTTTCTATTTAAACTGCTGTGCAATTTAAACAAGCCATTCATTGATGGTGTGTATGTCACTCAACTGTGCATAGTAACAGTTTCCATGGACAGGCTAAAAATATGCATGCCCTACTCTGTGCCAGTGTGGAGTTACGAAGTGATAAGAGCTGGACTGAAATAGCAAATGTACAGATATATAGGTCACTAGGTTACCTTATCTCACTGTCCGGTCAGTCAAAGATTATCCAGCATTATTTTATCACTTCAGTTTAATGAGTAATGCTTCTTTAGGTTGGGCGTGAGTATGAATACATGAACAAAGCTCTTCAGAGCCACAGAGGTCTGTACATTTTGGCATTTGTGCAACTCGTGAAAATAGTGTTTTTTTGTTTTTTAAAGTGGCCACTGATAAAGAGCACCAATCACTTACTTGTGAATCTGTACTCATCCTCTCGTCTTCTCATCTCTAGCTCTACAGGGAGGATGAAAATACTCAAATCAATATTATCATTGATCATTACCATTATGACATTATCAATACAGCCCTACAAAAACCTTGATACAGTTGTGTGTGATAATCATTGAACAAATGCCAAATAATACAGATTAGGATTGATTTTGATTGAAATAATAATCATTTCTTATCATAGTTTGGGCTGATTTTATGAGTAAATGGCTCTTGATTACGCAACATAAAAGATATTGTGCCCTAAATGTTATTGCTTCGTGATCAACTTTAACAACTGCAAGTGTATTTGTTTCAGAACTTGCTTATCAACAAATTGTTAAATCATTACATCTGCTACAGGTTTACTGCATCAGCAGATAAACTAAATATACCATGTTCTCATTTTCAGCTCTAGTTTTAAAACAGTGTTTGATCAATCTAAGAACCGTATTCAAAACTCTTACTGTGGCATATCAGTTTTGGATTTCAAAAAATAAGTTTTATGTCATTCCCCTCACTCTTTATCTCTGCTGTAGTGAATAAAGACAAAATTAGGTCAAAGCTCACCACTGTATGTTTGAGTAGAACAGATATTTGTCTGAACACGGAAAATACAGAACATTTAGTCACTTGACCTTTTGAGCTTTTTAAAACTTGAATTTACTTTCTTATGCAATATAATATTTTCTACATCGGACTGCAAGTGATCGTCTAGTTTACAGGTGGACAAGCAACAGTGAATTTATTCATAAGTGATCAGGGGAAACCAAATTAATGTGTGTACATTGTGTAATTGTTTAAAATGAAACTAAAACACAGCAAAGACATAAGAACTAGTGTTTTCTAATGCAAAACACAAACAAACCAGTAACAGTCAGTTATATACACAACAGTAATACTAACCACGAGGTGTTAGAGACGGCTGTTTTTCCACCTCAACCTGCTGTCGACTCCCAGCAGGGATGTTGTTGTAGATCCGCTTGTAGTGATTGTACACTGCAACGGCTAACACCTTTTTTGCATAAGACTGGCCCACAACGTACTTGTCGAGGTAAGCATATATCTGAGAACAGAGAGAAATGTAGACTTCGTAAAAGGTATACAACTATAACAGAATGTGTAGCACTTCACTCAAAGTATATTTTGACAACTTTGTTCCCTGCTTCAATTTCTCACCTTCTTAGGGGGAGGTGGAGGTTTCTGTGCAAATGCCATTTTCACTGCCTCCGCAGCAGATTCTGGCTCTTTGTTTAGCCCCTTCTTAGAGTCCGTTTCAGAGAGAACCACGAAGAAGTGATGGCATTTCTCACATTTGACAAAGCGTGTTGATGCTGTAAAAGAACAACACATTTAAAGGTGAAACATTTCACAATCTAGAGAAACTTTTGAGACATTTACGATTACAATTTCCAAGGTTGTAGATTTTTAAGCTGACTGACACTCTAGTGAGAGCTATACGCAGTGTTGAAAGGGAGAAAAGGACAAAAATGTTTCTGACCTACAGGCAATCTTGCTGATAAGTCTGCATGATGTAACCACTGAGTTGTGTTTTTTTAATTAGTTTTAAAATTAACTAAGGAATGAAGACTGAAGTAAAGTTTAGTACAAACTGTAATATTTCAACAACATGACAATGCTGCCATCTACTGAATTATATTCACCCAGTGTTCAAAGCAATGTAATAAGTTTATCAGTGGAAACAAACGTTTTGGCTCCATACTGTTACGCAACAGGATAAATGTGGAAAAACAAAAAAAAGCTGCCTAGCTCTGGTTCATTTTTGTACCAGAACATATTTGAATGAATTTTTCTCTTAACAATGAACACTTGAGTGCGTCACCTGGTCTATTACCAAGCTGCACTGCGACTGCTAGAGGACACCTGGTTACCGTCAGATGACCACACATTGGCTTCTGTGTGTCATGGAGATAGAAAGAACAAACACACCGGAGATTGTCTGTGCATTAGCAGACAGACCTAATGGATTATATTTCCCCTGCCTAACAATGTTGAGCTTAGGCTGTCCGTTTTCTGTATTATCCACTTAACAGTATTCTGTGTATAAATTAACTTTTTACATTAAAGCATTAAACCAGCTGCCATCATGTCTCTGAGGGCTAACAGAGATTATGACTAAAGTTTCATTATGAATGATACACAACACAAACCTGTGGAGAGTCAATGTAATTCCAGTGAGGGTGGTTTTTCCTTTAGATTACTCATAATGAGTGTTTGAGCAGTCACATAGACCGTGGTAGATTCACTCCTGGCTCAAACGTTACAATGTCAAACAGTCTCAAGAAGCAACAAAAGCAAGCCAGAGCTCATCTGACTGTTTGAGAGCCAAACTGAATTTCTGAGCTGAAGCAGGCAGCAGCTTATAGGCTCACACAGTTGATGTTGCAACACAGAGCAGAAAATGCTCATTGGGTAACCGTGAAACCCACACCTCAGTGTCCACTGTCTATATTCTGACCGACCGCCAGGAAAGGTGGTTGTTTGTGGTGTTGTATTTATGTCCTGTGTTTATAGTTATTTCAGTCGCCCACCACAGTTTGTACCGCAGTAAAGTCTGAAAGCTGGTTGAATGCTGATCATTAGTCCATCTGCTGCTGGACTCTCTGTTTCTTTATTCAGCCAATGTACAAACCATCTTGTTTCTCTCCCTCCTCCTCCTCATCCATGTCTTGTAACCAGAGTTCTTCATTTCTTTCAGATTTTTAGTGTTTGGCAAACACCTGACCTTTGCTGCGTATCAGTGTCAGAGATGTTCTCTACGTTTCTACTTACAGTTTGCACCGATAGTTCACGTCAGATCACGTTTTGGTAAATCTTTGCTGAAAATAAATACGTTTACTTACATACAAATGTCTCTACATGTGTGCAGGGATCTCCACATTTAGGGCAGCGTAGCTGGCTTCCCCCTTTGCCCGATCCTCCGGAGCCAGATAGTCTCTTCCCCTCACTGATGCTTTTCTGTGTAAACATGTCAGCACATATTAAATTACATCACCATCTCTTCCATGAAGTGGCAGACGGCTACATAATGTCTCAGTCTCCAGGAGATTACCTTCCCACCATCACTTCCACCGTCTTTTGTTGTCCCATCTTTAGAGGCATAGCAGACAGCCGTCTCTGAAAACGACCTCACCCGTACCCGAGGAGGTAAATGAGTTTCCCGAGACCCCTGACGGCTCAGAGAAAACAACTGGATCCGGGAGCAGGACAATCCTGTAACAACAGCAACATCCCTTCTGATTCCTAACGCAGCATTGTGTACAGTGAACACATCTCAAATTAATGACAATGGATGTTCAAATCATTTTATATTATTACCTATCCTGACAAACACATTATACCAGGGACACACAGCAGGAGGAAAGGTCAATTTGTGCATTAACCTGGCAGCCATAGGAACATTACTCCGCATCAGTGAGCAAAGACAATCCTGCCCTTCTCTACAGCTGGTCTTTATAATAACCTCATGAATTATGTGTTTACGGATGAGCAGGCTGTCACTTTTTCTGCATAATTAAGTTAAAGAACCATCTTATAATGATCTGCAAGGAGAGGCTTTTCGTCTGTGTGTCTCTATTTAGACACAAACATGCAGAAGTACTTACATTTAGAAACACAGCTCTAGTGGATGGGCAGATTTTGATATTTCATAGTGGGAGGGTAAAAAAACGGGGAATTTAAACTGAAACTTAACAGGCTTGGCAAGCAAGAGATGAATATCACATCATTTATCAAATCATTTAATACATAATTCATATCACTTGAAACAGACTATCAGTGTGTTTTCTTGCCAGATTTGCTTGGGGCGCGCAGACACTAAAATGATGCTCCAGAGCGCGAGCCAATCACAGAGCTCTACAGAGCACACTGTGTGAACAGCCTGATTTGTTAACACAGGTGCTCAAATGTAACGGGCAGCACTTCGGGCATTACCGCCTCCTGTGTGTCCCTGGCATTACCCTGAAAAATAATTAGGCAAGAAGCAAATACCAAAATGATGAATGAGCTTAAAAGAGCAGTAATAGTTGTAATAGAGGTCAAAGAGCAGATTAATAGATCCTCCTACACTCGACCTTTATGGATTAATTGAGAAAATAATTTACAAAACGGGTCTTAATCTCAAACTGGCTACTGCTGGTATTGTCATCTCGCAGGACGGCCACTTCAACGTTTATGTACTACAATAAAGTGCAATATTCAGAAAATATTTTAATTACTAACATCATACTTAACAAAAAATGCAAACAGCAGTTTCTATACATTTTATACCATCTTCGTTGTTTGCTGTCACAACAAACAAAGACCAAAAACCTGCTCTCTTCTTATCAACTCTTTGCACACAGTTACAGCACCTTTGCCATCATTTAGCGCCAATTTAAATAAAATGTTATTGTGTATGAAGTGGTAGTTTAAATCAATATTAAATTCTATTTTTAACATCATATCGTGGCTTAGAGGGAGCAGGTTGACATCGCTGATCTAAAAATGAACTTTTAATGTAAATAGTTGTTAGTTGCAGCGCTGCTCTGTAAATATGGGCAGTGACCTTGATAAAGTTCACAACAAAAAGCAACATAATGTGGCGTATATTATATATTATATATATATATATGTGCTGCAGCTAATGCACATTTAGTGTTTAATCTTTTAAAGTGTGTGAATAATGACGGTCTCTGGCAGGCTGGTAATCGTAACAAGTTATTTTACCTATAAACACTATTTCCTGTTTTTTAGTGATGCGTCTTTCTTCATGTGTTGTTGTTGACAGCTAAGTCACATCTCTCCAGCTCTAAGAAAGCCTGGGAGAAGTTAAATTTATTTATTTATTTTTAACATTTTAAGGGACTTTTCCACCTGCTGCTGGCATTACATGGCTGTCAAAACAAACAGCGACCCGGGTTCAGCTGTGGAGACCTACTTCACACAGGCTGCAGCAAATAGCACAATGTCACACCAGCTTTGACCAGCTGGCAGTGTGTGTGTGTGTGTGAGAGTGTGTGAGTGAGAGTGGTGTGTGAGTGGTGTGTGTGTGTGTGTTTTCTACTCTGTGGTGCAGTGTTTAGGAACAACCTTGCAGCCGAAGTGCATTGACAGGACATAACTTCTTCTTTCGGGCTTCAAATTCCTGAAAATAAACATACAAAATAAAATACTGTTACACGGGTGTACTGGGGAGTGGGGGTGGTTTTCAAAAGGGTTATAAGTGATAAGTGGCCGTCATAACTTCACCGTCCACCTGTTAGCATTAGCAAAGCAGGTCACTTGACTGGTGGAAGGTGGTCAACCAAGTTTACTTGGCTGACGGCGTTCGTTCTTTTATCTTTATTTTAAAACCACCTGAAATTGCGTTTGATTTGACTTTGGGGCTAACACGGCTAAACTACCTCTAAGCTGTTCTATCGCCAAGTAATCGATTGTAAAATCAACAATGTGTAACGGTTAGGCTGGGGGGGCTAAATAAACAGGTGACTGTTAGCGGGGCTGAAAGCTAGGCCAAACCCAGAGGACCGTTACGCCTTCTGGGCGAGTTTTTAACTGACAAACTGCTCCGGGGTTGGACGGACGGGTTTGGGGGTTGGGGAGGAGCGGAGGGGGCTCTACCTTAACCTAACCTAACCTAACCTAACCTAACCTAACTTGAACCTAACCTACACTTTAACCTAACCTAACTACTTAACCTAAACCTAATGGTGGTGCAGCCAGACGCCAAAAAGGGGAGGAACATCTTGAACAAGGCCTTGGCTAGTTTTTTAACTCACAGGGCACGGGGGGATGAAACCACGGTCGGGTCTTTGACAGCAACCCTTTCGAAAAAAAAAAAAATCAAAATTGCTAAGTCACTGCAGCTTTCGGCTCTCTTTGTTTTAAAGTCTGGCAGGGCTTCAGTGTGTCATACGGTAGGCGTAGTGTTAAGTTGCAAAATGGGTGGGCAACAGAGGGTGCTCCTTTAGGCCGCCCTGTCTCCCAGTGGACACCCGAAGTTGACTGCTAACGCTTTGCTGTTGTGAACCTTACGGGTCGGTCTATCCGCTAGATACGTTAGCTAGCCAGCCGTTCCCTCTTGGCACATACCGGTAACGGAGATTCATACTGCTGTAACCGGGGTGTAAGCAATATTTGGCTGCTTGGCTTTAATGTCTCTGCGGTTCAACCGGACAGATCCATACCACACAGGTGTGGAGATCTACCGTTAGTACTTTAATCCCACAGGGGGGGAGGCGTCAACGCGGTGCGCGGAAGCATGCGTTCAGGGTTTGATCCTCGTTATTACACACGGAATACAGGGACGACTATTTTGTGAAATTTAGTGGTTGCGTTTGGGTGCTTCCTCGCTACATGGGCTGGATCCATTTCCCAAAATTCAGGGACTTTTTTTTTATTTTCTAGTCTGTAATTAATTTATATGAATAGAATTAAAAGTCCCGGTTAGTTGATTTAGTTAGCTGGAGTAACTATCAATATACGTTGGCTTTTTTGCTGGGAGATGCCCTGCATCTTTATTCATGCGCTAGCTGCGCATGGCTGCCTGTTACGTTGGCTCCCAGCCTTTTGAGTTGGCCCTTTTCAACTTTCTTCATACTTTTTTGCACATTATTAAACTGTCAAATTTGATCTTTTATTATATTCTTTATCATATATATAGTTTCTACCTATATTATAATCATATTTATTATTTTTGTTCGGTTACATAGATGTTGGCTTGTATAATATAGTTGTTTGTATACCTGGAGTCCTTACTTTCATTATTAAAGTATTTCTGATTCTTATTGCTGATCTGATTATGCTTAGATTTAGACAGACTTTATTGTCATTGGATAATGCTCAAAATGAATATATTTGCAATAGCACATGCACACAGGAATAAAGGAGGCAGTACGTCAATAATATGCAAATATAAAAGAGACTTATTTATCGTTTATATCTTAGTATATATTACAAAAGTTTATTTTACACAGGCAACTACACTGCCAAGCATACTAGGAAACATAACACATATCACTCAGATATCATAATAAATAACACAAATTTTGGCAATAATAACTCATTTGTTTTCCAAATAATCAGAAATAGGGGAAAAACTTGCTCCAACCGGTTTATATATTCTGTAACAATATATTCTACTCGATCTCCCTCTTTGTATAAATCAATATCGAGAGTTAACGTAGCCCTCAAGTTTATTAGTGGTATCCAAAATAGCCTTTTATGAAGAAGGAATGCATTTCTTTTAAATTCTGCTAATACATATGTTTTTTCTACAAATCATTTTTATCAATACTTGCAAGTTAAAAAAAATGCAATGCAAAATGCAAATTTGAAGAGTTACATGGTAAAGACTAACCAAGGCTCAAGTTATAACCCCCCAAAAAACAACTAGACAAATCTTCCAAACAGGCCTACTTCAAAAAAATTAAATTTAAAATGTGTACTATATCAAAGATAAATGGGAGAAAGAACTCAAAACAACTTTACCTGATAATGAGTGGATATTTACCTCTACATAAGATCACCCTATTAGAAGGAATATGCTTGGAAGATGATAATAAGGTATTTTTGAACACGTCAACTTTATCCAGGTAAATATAAAGTCTAGTTGCTGAATGTGGGGAAAATATTGCTGACCATACACACATATTCTTTAAATGTAAAAAATACAAGATAAAAGATACTTTATACATAATAGAACAGGAAAAATGTAGTAATACTTTTGGGAACACACCCCAAAAGCCTACAAAAGGAAGAATTAGATTTGGATTCTGAGTAATATGGCACTCAAGCAAATAACCAAGGTCTGAACCTCACAAAGTAAACGAGTGGCTCGAAGCAGTGGCTCAAAAAGCATGCCCAGGGGCCGTTTCTTGCCCTCCATCCCCCCTTCGTCCGACCCACAACATGAGGTTAGAAGCAGCAAGATTATAATATTTTGTTGTCCCTACTTGTTTCATATCAATTTAAACTATCCCTTTATATACAATTAAAGTAAAAATACAATTATATCTTTAAAAATGTATTTAGTTTTGTGCAAAATAATGGCAAATGTTGAAGGTGCCTCTAAATGCAGCAGGTTTCAGACCTTAATTTGTTGTTTGGCTACACAATAATAAATAATAACATTTTGTGTCTGTTTATGCATGTGGTAGATGGATGTATAGATATATGTATCTATATTTGAATACGTATGGATATATACAAAATATAAATAAACCTTGGAAAGAAAGAAACAGTGAAACCTGGACCTTTGGGCCCACTGTGGGTCTGGGGCACCAACACAGTTACCTGCTTTGCTCAGTCGGTAATTCGGCATTTTCTCCAGACAGAGGTTCTCGTATGAGAAAGCAGTGCATGTCCTGCGTCCAAAATGTAGGACAGCTGAAACTCCTCCATTATGTGTTTCCATACATCATGTGTCTACAGTGTCACACAATATCAATATCACACAACACACTTGGGAGAATATCATCTATATCTATATGAAGTACATAGTCACACATTTATTGCAAACATTATCCAGTGTGACCTATTAAACCTCTACCAGCAACTTCTCCCTGTGTCAAAATCAGGTCAGTGTTTCCAAGAATTCATGTAAGTAACTGAGATTTAAAAAAAACTACTTTTATTGCCCATTTTACAAGGTTTGTAGTTATTTATTTTTAGGTTAGTTTAAGTTTAACTCTGCAGGTTTTCACACTGCTGTTGTCCCACATATACAAAAGCTTTTTGTTGGGATAATATGACAGCATGGCCAAGATGCCATTAGCTGGCCTTAAATCAAAACTTGCATCCTGAGGACTCTCTTTCTTTAAATCAAAGGCATATGTAACTCTTCTGTCTTTGTCGTCTGTAAAATATAACATGCCGCATACGATGAAAGCATTTCCTGCTTTAGTTGTAGGGTAGTGAGTGTTAATGATCGACTCCACAGAGAATGTGTCAGGGCTGAGCTTCGCAACCATGGTACTATCGTCTGTATCTGCTGCAAAAATGACCCACAGTCCATTTTCATCCACAGCAAACTTGAAGTACGTCTTGGAGTTGCGGAAAAGATAAGCCAGGTTGTGATATCTGCTGTTTGCCATGATCAGAACGTTTGTTCTCCTGGTGTTCAGGTCAAATCTGTAAAATATTCAGAACTGGTGAGTTAAGAAGCTGAGTATAGTAGTTTCAGTGTGTCAGTGTATGTAAGTTAATAAGGCAAGAACAAAAGTTTAACACATGTTTGACACTTACTTTATAAGTTTTTTTGTTCCTGCGTTGTGAAAGTACAATGACTTCTTGTAAACAACATGTCCACAGCCCTGGTAGAAACTCTTTACATCTATTAATTTGTTGCTTGTATTCTGAATCGTGGAAATGTTCCTGTGCTCTGCCAAAAGTCGACCTGGGGGAAGATGATGTGTCTGTGTTACATCCAACAATAGCTCACGTATCTCTGTGATGATGGGCCGACTTGTGGTTGCTGTTTAAAATCACCTGAAAAATGATCGGCCAGCCAGTATCGACCATCATCCAGTTGGGACGCATCGGTCATCCAGGCTCCATAAGTGCTTTGCATCTTGGTGGCTTTCTCCGAACATTTTATACTTTTCATTTGGCACTCTAAGTGAAAAAAGATATGTATTTCAGTATTATAGATAGATAGATAGATAAGTAGATAGATACGATAGGATAGAGTAGATAGAATAGATAGAAATAGATAGTGATAAGATAATAGATAGATAGATAGAAGGAGTAAGATAGATAGATAAAATTAATCTTTATTATAAACCAGTGTTTTTGAAGATGATGGATGGGCTTTGAGAGAAAAGAGAAATGTTATAAACAAAATATACAGTTTCTTACCACTTTTCATGGGTGTATCCATAATGTTTCTACTGTTATTGAAGGTGTCTGTCTTTTGAGCCATGTCTGTAGACAGTGAGGCTGTAAAATGAAAGGAAACATAATACATAAGACCAAACAAATGTTTTTTTATCATTGTTTACTTGTGTTTCCTACCTGTTAGTAATTTAATTGGTGCCTCTGTAGCATTCTCTCTATCAGTATCTTTTAAGGTGTCGTGGCTGTTATCTTGATGAGAGGATGCTGACTCTAGAAAATAAAGGTGAGATTTAAAAAGATGAGCACAGTAGGAAGTTAAAGTCTGTGTGTACAAACATTTAATGAATTGAGTTCCCAGTATTTCCTACCTTGTGAATACGTTAACTGGTGCCTCTGAAACATCCTCTGTGCTGGTTTCAATCCACCTGTCAGGTCTGTAGTCTGGACGAGGTGATACTAACTCTGAAATACATAAATAAAACAGAATTTAGATATTCATAAATCTTTAACCTTAACCAGGCAGTATGTGGTCTTACAGTGAAGTCTCATCACAGCTAATATTTAATAAGTTTATTAGATTATTAGATTGAGTAAATTTTACATTTGTGCCTTAACTCAATTTTATTTATATTTATATTTCAGACAAACAATGTAAAACATCAAACTATATACGTATGTACATATATATATAAAAAAAAGTTGGTGTGAAAATAAACACCAGGGACACAAATAATGTAAAAACCAAAGATTAAAACCTAAAAACTGAGGCTGTAACATTACTCCAAAGAAAAGACAGATTAAAAAGATTGATTGATTGATGAACATACATACAAATACAGTAAACAATATGACAGTTTCTTACCATTTTTCATGGTAACAGTAATGTTTCCGTTGCCATTGAAGGTGTCACTGTTCTGAATCATGTCTGGAGGAAGAAGGGCTGAAGAATGAAATTACATTATGTTAGATTTACAAATAATATAAATAATGTCGGACACCTTTAATTAGGACACAAGAGGCCTTTACGTATAATTTAAAACACAGTTAATACCTGTTAATAATTTTATTGGTGCCTCTGTAACATTGTCTGTGTTGGTATCATTCAAGCTGTCGTGGCTGTACTCTGGATGAACTGATACCGACTCTAGAAAAGAAAAGAGAAAGGTTCTGCATTAAACACGTTCTTTACATGATCAGAATATTTTCAAACAATGACGTCTTCCTACCGCTGAAATCAGTTTCTTACCAGATTCCACTCTTGTATCTGGATGTTTTCTAGAGTCGGTATCATTCAATACATCTCTGCTTTCATCAGCTGAATGTGGTGGAATTTGAACTAGAAGAAATGGTACAGATATCAAATATTAGTCCTCATTCAAAAACAGCACATCATAAAAACCATAACTCATATAATGTATTGATGTGTACTATTTTCATTTGCAGCTTAAATTCACAAAATGTACTCACCAGTTTTTGTCCATCTCTCGTTGCTAGTCAAATTTAGCTTGTTGTTATTTTGGGGTGAATACGAAGAATCTAAAGAAATAATAATAAGGTATTTTATAATAACAGTTATTACAAATGTGTATTTTTAAGATATATATATATCAGAATCAGAATCTTAGATGTATATATTTTTAAGATATATATTGTAAGGTATCATATTTATCATATCATATTATCATATTTATCATATACCATTGCTAATGAAAATCTTTAAATCAGTGTATTGAGGGTGTTGGCTGGTTTTTGAGGGAAAAGAAAAACTGTTTCTTACCATTTTTTATGAGTGTATCAATAATGGTTCCACTGTTGTTAAAGGCATCACTGTTGTGGTCCACATAAAGTGGGGCTGTAGATTGAAATGGATAATTATATATAATATTTTAAAGTTATGGTCACTTGCTTGACTCATAATTCAAAACGCAGTGTTTCCTACCTGTTAATAATTGAACTGGTCCCTCTGTAACATCCTTTGTATTAGAGTCATTCCGGGTGTCCTGGCTGAATTCTTTATAAAATGATACCAAATCTAGAAAATAAAAGGCAGTTTAACAAAAAAAAAACAATAAAATCTGTAAAGAAGTCTGTTAATAAAGTCTTTTAGCCACTGAAACGTTTGCTCACCAGATTCCTTATCTGTGTCTTTAAGTTTATCTGAGTCAGTGACATTAAAAACATCTCTGGCTTCATGAGCTGGAGGTGGTGTTGGTAACACGAAAGAAAGGTGAGATTAAAAAGATGAATGAAGTTAAGATCTAATCTGTGTGTACAAACATTTAATGAATGAGTCCCTGTGTTTCCTACCTGTTAATAATTGAACTGGTCCCTCTGTAACATCCTCTGTGTGGGAGTCATTCAGGGTATTGTGGTTGAATTCTTTATGAAATGATACCAAATCTAGAAAATAAAAAGGCACTGAGTTAAACATCTTTAATATAATAAAAATACAGTTTATTCTAGGCATCCTGCATTCAACAGAACACTACATCAGCTGATCAGTTTCTGACCTAAGGAGTGAAAAGTTGAGAAATTCTTTTATTTAATTTTTATGTCATAAACCTTATTTTTAGGGTATTAATGAGTTAATACTGGTCATATTTTTTTACATTCATTTCTAAAATCAGTTTTATTAAGAAAGGCTATGGGATTAAAAGGGTACTGAAATTCCTATTGAGTAAAAGAAACAACAATAAAATCAGTAAAGAAGTCTGTTAATAAAGTCTTTAAACCACTGAAACGTTTGCTCACCAGATTCCTTATCTGTGTCTTTAAGTTTCTCTGAGACAGTAACATTAACAACATCTCTGGTTTCATGAGCTGGAGGTGGTGTTGGTAACACTGTGGAAAGAAAGGTGAAATTTATGAATGAAGTTAAGATCTAATCTGTGTGTACAAATATTTAATGAATGAGCCCCTGTGTTTCCTACCTGTTAATAATTGAACTGGTCCCTCTGTAACATCCTCTGTGTCGGAGTCATTCAGGGTGTCCTGGTTGAATTCTTCATGAAATGATACCAAATCTAGAAAATAAAGGGCACTGAGTTAAACATCTTTAATATAATAAAAAAACAGTTTATTCTAGGCATCCTAGTTTATTCTAGGCATCCTGCATTCAACAGAACACTACAGCAGATGATCTGACTAAAGTTTCAAGCAGAGGATGACAAATAGTTTCTGACCTGAGGAGTGAAAAGTGGAGAAATCTCGGGCCAGTTGTCATTTACTGAGAACTATTGAAGTTCTTTAAGATGCAGTTTAGGATTTTGTGCAGAGCTCGGATCATGGCGCAAGAAAATGTTACTTTACATTACAAATAGTTGAACGTACATTTTTATAATAGACATTATTATTATAAGTAGATTGTTTCCAGTGGTGGAAGATATCTAAGTTCATTTACTCGAGTACTGTACTTGTTTATCAATTTGAGTACTTGTAGTTTACAACTTTCCATTTTGTGCCACTTTATACTTCTACTTACGACTACATTTAAGAGAGACATATTCTACTTTTTTACTCCACTATTTTTATTTGACAGCAATAGTTATTGGTTACTTTTTAACTTAACGTTTTATATAAAAACAACATTAAATTATTTCATTGAATCTTTATGTCAAGTTTTTAAGGTTTTAACTCACTTTAAAGTTACTATCGCTTCAATTTTTACAATTCTAATATTAACAAAGGATTTAAAAATGCACTGTGTGTACAAACATTTAATGAATAAGTCCCAGTATTTCTTACCTGTTAATACGTTAACTGGTGCCTCTGAAACATCCTCTGTGCTGGTTTCAATCCACCTGTCAGGTCTGTAGTCTGGACGAGGTGATACTAACTCTGAATTAAATAAATAAAACAGAATTTAGATATTCATAAATCTTTAACCTGAACCAGGCAGTATACGGTCTTACAGTGAAGTCTCATCACAGCTAATATTTAACAAGTTTATGGTATAAGATTGTCCTGAAACAACTGCGTCTGTCAATACTGATACCAAATACAGTAAACAATATGACAGTTTCTTACCATTTTTCATGGTGATAGTAATGTTTCCATTGCCATTGAAGGTGTCACTGTTCTGAATCATGTCTGGTAGAAAAACGGCTAAAGAATGAAATTACATTATGTTACATTTACAAATAATAATGATGTTTGTGGGACACCTTTAATTAGGACACATTTATTTATAATTCAAACCACAGTTAATACCTGTTAATAATTTAATTGGTGCCTCTGTAACATTGTCTGTGTTGGTATCATTCAAGCTGTCGTGGCTGTACTCTGTATGAACTGATACCGACTCTAGAAAAGAAAAGAGAAAGGTTCTGCATTAAACACGTTCTTTATATGATCAGAATATTTTCAAACAATGACGTCTTCCTACCACTGAAATCAGTTTCTTACCAGATTCCACTCTTGTATCTGGACGTTTTCTAGAGACTGTAACATTCAATACATCTCTGCTTTCATCAGCTGAATGTGGTGTTGGTGATTCTGTGGAAATAAAAATGAGCTTCAAATAAAGGAGTCTACTCATGCATTCATGTGTAAACAGCATTTTACTGCTGTAGTTGGTTGAGGAGAAGGTACTTTTCTATTTTGTATAGGACTGCGACTAATGATTGTTTTCATTATGGATCAATCTGCTGATTATTTTCTCCATTAATGGACTGATGTAAAATTGTTTGTAAAAAAAATCAGAAAATCATGAAAATGCTGTCACAACTACCCACAAAGTGACACTTTCACAATGCTTGTTTTCGTCCAACTAATAGTCCAAACGTCAAAATGATTTAAATTAAACAGAAAAGCAGTCAAAAAAGTTTCAATCAACTAATCATTTCAGCTGTTTTTGTACAAACTGTTTTGTAGATTTATAACAAAAACATCACATTTCAGCTCTTCTTAAGTTCTTATAGGAACATCTCATCTCATGAAGTGTAGTAACTAAAGCTGTCAGATAAATGTAGTAAGTAAAAAATAAACAATATTTCCCTCTAAAATGTCATGGAGTTGAAGTAGAAAGTGGCGAGCACCTCAAATTTATACTAAGTACAGCACTTCATTATCACCATTGATCATTCATCAGTAATCAACATTGAGGATGAACTTGACACAGCGTTTAATCAAAATCATTAACTCATATAATTGTTACAAATTCTGAAAGTCTTCCTACCGCTCTTGTTTATTGTGGAGCTGCTGATGTTTACTGTGTCAGTTTCATTGAAGTCATCCTTGATTAGAACAGCAGATGAATCTAAATATGCAGAATACAAGGAAACAGAGGAAGTTAAGTCCTTTGATTGTTTTCACTTAAACACTTCAACTATAATAACAATGAGAGATTCTTAAATGCACATTAAAGAGTCAATGATTAAACCAAAAGCCTAAAAATAATAATCAGGTAATAAATTAAATAATAGCCAACACTTTATGGTGAAAGATTTTAGACCTTCATGTTGGCAAATAAAATTTATAGACAATATAATCAAACAGTTACATGTAACATAACCACGTCATAATGATTCTGTATAGATGTTCTCACCCATCAACATGTTACTTTGATGGATTTGTTCTCTGACGGTTTTGTTTCTTGCTTTAGTACACCTAGCACGACAGGATGGACCAGGTGGGCCTGGTGGACCCGGTGGACCCCTTGGACCAGGAGGACCTTCAAAAAAACACATACAGTAAGTCAGACGTGTGAGCTAATAAACAATACTGCTGGTCAGTGACACAGGCTTTGTACAACAGCAACAATAAAAGAACAGGAAAGTAACTAATGTGGGAAACTATGTGAATCATTAATATAATATTGTTCAATATTGTAAAGTGACTTTTAAGAGAAACTTTAAATGTTCCAATTTAAAGTTGTGGATCAGTTTGTTTACATCACACA